TCAAATTCTCCAGCATCTGCAGTTCCTACTATCTCATTAAGCAAAGATACATGGCTACTATTTTGAAGAACAAGGAAGTTCTCTGGGCCAAATGTTTATTCATGAAACCAAGATAACGACAGATTATTTAGTCACCCTCACATAGCCGTTTGTAAGATCTTGCTGTGTGTGGAGTGGTTACTGCAATTCCTCCATTACTATAGTGGCCACAGTTTAAAAGTGCTTCATTATACTGTGAAACATATTGTGATCATCCTGAAAGGGAGAGGGGGCAGGCAGGGGGAGAAATACAAATGCAAGCACTTTTCTATTTTTCACATTTGGAAGATTACATTTTCAGGGGAGCTGCAGCTTCAGAATGAAATGACAGCTCCTGATGGATTGGACCATTTCCCTTTGCGGCACTCCTTGCCCTCACAGGCTGTGAACAGGATCATCCATCAAATTCTATCTACCATTTCCCTGCGCACAGCCCTCCTTTAGCATGAGCTTCAGGCTGGGAGTCTAGAAACTGCCACATGGTGAAATGTTTTCAGAAACTCATCCTGACACCAAGACCTTTGTACCCACTACTGGATGTGCTTTGCTGAGCTTTATCAGTAATTAGAGCAAGTACTTGTGATTCACTGTAACCTAACACTTTGATTGTCAAATAGCAAAGTGACAAATACGCCCCGCTGGCTTATTTTATTGGTCTAAAAGGGAAGCCTAATTTACAGTACTGGGATCAAAGAGTCGCTTCTACACAATCATTAACTACTCTGAATACCAGGGAGAATTACTGCTCAGCTAGATTGTAAATGCATCTCAAAAAGGTGTTGAGTTCAATGAAAGCAGTCAAGAATATTCAGCCCATTAGTACTTGTAGTTGAAACCACCTATCACAGTACCTGTTGCATTTTGAACAACTTGCTGTTTCTCAGTCTGGAGTAGTGTAGTGAGGGGAGCAAACCCCAAAACAGCTCTGTGTTGACATTTCACGATAGTGACACATTGCTGCAATTTGGAGTGATTTATTTTCCACCAAATGTTAATAAACCTGTTTATTAATTACTCCATTACAAAGACAGTGGGGATTCCTAGTGGTTAGCAGGTTTGCATTTTGATGATACCACAGATGTTGGTGTAAAAGATGCTATATCAAAGCTAAACCATTGCCTAAACTTAATGAACATCCAGGAGAGGCCTGAGTACAGGCGCAACATAGGGTTTCAGCCAATGTTTACATTTATCAGGCTCATCCATCAAATTCTATTTACCATTTCCCTGCGCACAGCCGTCCTTTAGCATGAGCTTCAGGCTGGGAGTCTAGAAACTGCCACATGG